GTGGTGGCTATGTGCCGTGGAGTCGGTTCCAAGTGATAGTGACCCTGCACAGGTTTCCAAGGCTGTAAATCTTTAAGGGAGCAGAAAGCCTCATCAGTCTCCCATGGAACAGTTGGTAGTTTAGAACTGCTGACCTTAGGGTTAGCAACCTAACTTGTAATCACTACGCTACCAGAAAGCATTAGCTGGCATTTTATCAGGAGGAACCAATCTCTAGAGAAGGATATATTGCTTGGTAAAGTGGAGAGTCAAAAAAACAAAAAGAGAGAGAAAGACCCCCAATGAGATGGATTGGCAGAGCGGCAGCAGCAATGGATGGAAGCAGAACAAAAGCTCTGAGGATAGCGCAGAACCAGGCAGTGTTTCGTTCTGTGGTGCACAGGGTCGTTATAAGTCGGTACTGACTCGGCAGTACCTAACAACAACAACAACAATTTGTAACATCAATTACGTTAATCATGTTGTGCTACTATGGCCAAATAGCTGTTACCAAACTTTCCATCACCAGAAACAGAACCTCAGTGTTTCCTAACAAATGACTCCCTTCCCTTCTACCTCTGTTCTTCATACATTTGCCTCTTCTGGATAATGTATATGAGCTCGTACACTATTTTATGATTGACTCACTTCACTCAACACGTGTTTTTAGCAGGCATCAGGGTTTCATGTCTCTTAATGGCATGAGGGAAGCTTTAAAAGAGTCTGTGTAAAATTTGAATTAAAAGATACTGGAATTTTCCCATGAACTTTTGGAAGCCCTCTCATATGTACCACATTTTGTTTGCCATCTGTCTACTAGTGAATATTTAGAGTCCTGGTGTGGCGCTGTGGGTTAATGCACCAGCCTGCAAAGTCGTTTGAATCGCAAGGTCGGTGGTTCAAGCTCACCAGTCACTCCTTGGAAACCCTATACAGGGTCACTATGGGTCAGAATTGACTCCACAGCACTTACCAACAACAATTGATGAATATTTAGATTACTTTCTGGATAATTTTTTAGTGATTGTCTTAATCCCTTGATCCCTAAATCATAAGGCTAGTTCTGTTCTTGGATGCTAAAAACATTGGTTTTCATATTCAACCAAGGCAACTGTTTTCAACATCCCATTCCCCTGCACTATTGGCCAACATTCTGCTCACACTTTAGACTTCCTACCACCAAGTCAATATTGGTAAGTGCTGTCAAATTAGTTCTGACTCATAGCCACTCTGTATGGGGTTTCTGAGGAATGCCTGCTGGGTTTGAACCACTGACCTTGTGGTTAGCAGTCCAGTGCTTATCCTACAGTGCCACGCCACATGTTTATTCCTCCCACCCTCTAGCAGGTATTTGCAGGGGCCTACTTACAGCAGACCTTTGATCTCTTACCTTCCTTCAGGCCAGAATGAGAAAGGAGACATTTATCATTCTAGGGGTCTCTTCTATTTGACTTGAGAGTTTCTGGTTCCTGCCCATACCTCACCTACACTACTGTTGGGCATGGCCCTGGGGAAGAGGGAATGTTCTTAGGGAGATATTATTGGTCTGGGCTCAGGAAGCAGACCTGGGATGAGTCCCACTGGGGACAAGGAAGCAATGGGAGTTGTTAAAAAGTTTCTAAGTCTCTGAAAAACTTATTAAAAAGCACAAGGACATTAAAATCATATACATTCATGGAATGTAGGATTCATAGGCTGAAATAAACAACAATAAGAGTCTCTTCAAAAGAACAAATTCTCTGGGAGTTTTGGAAGGACTCATTTCAAAGAACAATGAATTTCACATTCCAGGTGCATACGCATCACTGGGAGGGCTCTGTGAAACTCAGAAATGCAAC